TACATGCCACATTTTCTTTGCCCAGTCTATCATTCATGGGCATTTGGGTTGGGATTGCAGATTATCGTTTTTGCAGTCTGTATTGATATCACCTGGTTTAAAGTGTAATCTATGCTCTACAAGTCACCTACTTTTTGTCAAAGTTAGAATTCTCCAAAATAAAAGCTGGACACACAAACCAGCATGGAGGGAATCTTTGTCTGCCCTTCAGAAGTCTTCTCTCCTGGGACGAGGGCCACCAAGGCCTGCCCAGCAACTCTAGCATCCCAGATCTCAGCAGCAAGGGGCTGTCTTCCTTACTATTAGCTCCTCTGGCATTGCCCCAAATGCTGGGTAAGGCCTTAATCCACACATCAGGGCCCTTGATACACACAAGCCCCTGCAAAGATGTACCCCCGGCCTGCCACCCAGCCCATGCCCCTGTACCAGCCCTCTGTCCCTTCCTCGTCCCCCTGTCTCCATCGAGGCTGGACCCTTTATTGATCTTCACCCAGGTCTACTGTGTTACTGTCATTCCCATGGACTCATTTTTAAAATCTGTTCTGGCCTTTCCTTTGTTTGCAACTGAGATTGTCCCTTTGGTCTGGTTCTCGCTCCCGCACCCCTATCTGTTTCTTATTTAGGGGAGATAGGGGCTTTGCATCATATCTAACAGACTTCTGTAAAATTAGGAGCAAAAGGGCTGGGATGAGCATGGAGATTCTTTGCGTAGCATGGAGGTGCAGGGGGTTGGAGGGTAGCGGGCCCCAGGGAAATCCCAGGCGTCACCAGGCTCCCTGCAGACCTCTGTGGCTAGAGCCTTGTTTGCAGTGGGTCTCAGCATTCTGCAGTGCATGTCTCAGCAGCCGGTGGGACCACGGGGCAGGGCAGCCCTCCTCTGCAGCACCACCTTCTTGTCAAACACAGCTGTATTTGGGGAGGGGAGGCAGAGCACACAGCCAAGGGGACGTCGGAGGGCAGTAGACAGCCAGACTTGCCCTCAAGGGAACCCAGGGCAAGGAGTACACTGAGGTGGGTGACTCAGGGAACTGGCTGGGAGGGGCTGAGAAGCAGAGAGGGTGATAGGCTCAAGCTGGAGAGAAGGTGAGATCACCCCCAGGTCTCATGCAAGAGGGGCTGTGTACCTGAGTGTAAGTGGGTGCACAGAAAGAGGAGGGGGGCTGTCGGGTAGGGTCTCCCAGCCTGATGGGGAGCAGCCACCATGTGGTCCAGCCCTCCCTGTAAGTCTGTACCCATCTGTTTTTGGCAAGGCAACTCCTCCCCCACTTCTCAGTGTAAACCCAGGACACCTCCCCTAAGGTGCCCACACCTCTCTAGCCCATGTGAACAACCCCTGGCAGACTGTGCACGGTGTGGCATGTGACCACAACTTCTCCTGCATGGTGGGCTTGCCGTTCCCTGTGCTGCTCCCCTGACCCCCAGGAGGGGTTTTCAGTTGTTCTGGGACAGCCCCAAAGGCCCCACGGCCTCCACAGTGCTGGGCACATGACAGGGACTGACACACAACTATGAACGGCATCGCCAGACCTTGCTAGAAATGTGGCTCTTCTTCACTAAAAGGCCATGCGAAAGAAAGAGAGAGAGAGAGAGAGAAAGAGAGAGAGAGAGAGAAAGAAAAGAAAGAAAGAAAAAGAAAGAAAGAAAGAAAGAAAGAAAGAAAGAAAGAAAGAAAGAAAGAAAGAGAAAGGAAGGAAG